TCATGTCCCCTAGGCCTCTGCTGGAGGTGGACATAGGGCTGCATCCCCACCCAGCCGGGTGGGACGACAGGAATGCTGCTCGTCACAGCTGGCTGGACAGGGGAGACTGTTTATTCTCTGATGCTGGGAACATCTCAGGCAATCAGGGGGATTTGGCTGCTGGCAGCTCCTGGATGTGAGGTCTCAAAGAAATCAACTTAATCAGAGCAGGCTGATGGCCCAAGCTCTGAGCAGGCAGCGGGGTTGCCAGGGAGGGGCCACCCCTCCCTACCCCCCATTCAGTGCCACGTGTGCCTCTGAGCTCACCTGCTGGGTCTGCAGTGATGGGGCTACAGAGGTAGGAGCTGAGCCCAGAGCTCCTGTTAATAGTGCAGGCATCAGGGAAGACTTCCCATAGTCCCACCCGCTGCATCCCAGGTGCCCTCTGCTTATGGGACGTGGCGGGGCTAAGAGTCTTAGCCTGGGAAGGGAGCTCATTTTGCATCTCCTGGTATTGAGAGTTTGACTCCAGTGATCCCAGCCTTCCTTTTCTCCCCTCACCCCCTCACAAGGTCAAAGCTCCTCTCACCCTTGAGTCTCCAGTGGTTTCTTTTTTTTAAATCCTCACCAGAGGATATTTTTCCATTTATTTTCAGACAGAATGGGAGAGAGAGAAAAAAACATTGATGCGAAAGAGACACATCGACTGGTTGCCTCCCGCCTGACCCCGACCAGGGCCGGGGACCAAACCGCATCTGAGGTACATGCCCTTGACTAGAATCGAACCCGTGATTCTTCGGTCCGCAGGCCAATGAGCTAACCGCTGAGCCAAACCAGCCAGGGCTCCAGTGGCTTCTTACTCTCTCACTACCACCCCCAACTCATTACTAAAACCTGTTCTTAGGAAAAGCTGCCACCAGTCATTTACACATGTGTTTGAATAAGCATCAAATCAATAACTTAACCAGTTTAACCTCTCTCAGGACCACTTGCATTTTGAGTCTGAGCCTTTTCAGTGAAACAAAAACTCTGTCCTGCCCACTCTCCACTATTCCCAAAGGTACTTCTGGTGAGAGAAAGCAAATAGACTCCCTGAAATCAAGCAGCAGATGTTTACAACCCTCTCTGAAACCGCCACCCACCCACATTGCCTGGCCAATGCATTTTGTTCTCAAGTCTAACTTCAATCCCCTTTGCTGATTGATATTCATTCATTACCCTCTACTATTGCATGCTTACATCCATTTATTCACTCAACAAACTTTTCTTGAGTATTAATAAATCTTAAGTACTTGAGTATGCAAACACAACCTGGCCACTGCCCTTCAGCAGCTTGCAGTTGAATTTTAATGCAGGAAACATCCCCAAGCAAAGCCTAGCCCACCAGCTCTGGTATACAGTAGGTATTCAATAAACGCTGCTTCCCCTTCTCAGGGCTGCACTATATGGACACTGCAATGTAACAACAGAAATTTTCTTTTTTTTCTTTATAGATATTACAGAAAGAGAGAGGGAGAGAGAGATAGAAACATCAATGAGAGAGAACATCGATTGGCCACCTCCTGCATGTCCCCCAATGGGGATCAGGCCCACAACCTGGGCATGTGCCCTGACCAGGAATCGAACCAGCAACCTCTTGGTGCATGGGTTGATGCTCAACCACCGAGCCACATCGGCCAGGCTGACACCAGAAATTTTCTAAAAACCCTTTCCAGGTGGACAAGAGTGCCAGCAGGACTGAGTGGTTTCTATCTTGATTCAGAATGTCATGATTTATTTGGGATGTTCCTAACATCAGGTTGGAGAGGCATGCAAAGGAGAGGGGCTTATTCTAACCAGATCAGGGCTAGGGGCAGCCCGGGACACTGTCTCCATGGTGCAGAGCCTCAGACAGTTCGGAAACAAACAGAAACCCATCCAGAGGAAAGAGACTGACAAAAGCAAAAACAAACAAAGGCCAAGAGATGGAAAATTCAGGAGGTGGGGCAGGGTGGAGATGAGCAGAGTGGGGAGATGGGTGGGGGCTGTGGAAGGGATTTAGGGAGGGGCATGGTCCTGGGATTTTGTGTAAGTGAGGAACTGAATCCAGTCCTACACCCCCCACCCAAGAATCACCATGGCAACAGGGAGGATAAGTGCTGCTGATTCCAAGCCAACACAAACCTCTTGGGTTTAGCAGCAGGAATGGGCTCAGATGCCTGGGGCCATGTTCTAAAGAAAAATATCTGAATTGGGCTCTTTAAATCACAAACTCCCCATCCACTCCTGGTTTGGTAGGCAATCAGTGTTTAATGAAATGAATAAGAAACAACAGTGAACCACATCCCTTTTCCATGTCTCTCACATACACGGACATTATCCAAAAGCCCACAGAATGGAACCCCTTCCCTTTGTGGTGGAAACTGACAGCTCATAGGATTCTTAGCACTTCCCAGAAGCAGGTACCTCACCCATGGAAGATTCACTTGCTACCCCTCCCAAAGCCGTGCTCCTTGATGGCAACTTAGTGACAGAGGGCCGATGGGCTGCTTTCACAAGACCAAGGCAGCTGGAGCTCCAATGTGAGGTGGTTCCAGCTGAACCACCATCTGGTCTTCTCTGCCGTCAGCTGTCTGGTGAGAAGATCTTGGCCCAGCGCAGGTCTGTCAGCAAGGACACTGCTTCTTCCCCCTCCATGAACAAGTGCCTACAGCATGAGCCTCAGCTCCCAACTCCCAATATCCAAGTGTGCCTGCTCCTGGAGCCGGCTGGCCTACGGGATCTGCCTGAGATATAAGGTCAGTGCTCAACAGAACTGAGTCTTCAGGGTCTGTCTCCTTCCTACCTCTCCATCCCCAGGTACCCAGAGATCTCATACTATCCCCCATCACCTTCAGTCCAGGGCCGACTCATCCATTAGGCATTGTAGTCACAATGCCTAAGGCCCACGTTATGAAAATATCTTAATTTATTTTACAATCAGAAGGGGGGGGGTGCTTTTAAGTGGAAGAAACAGTTTAGTATATAATAGTAATATATTCATCTTTATACCAATGCAGTCTTAAAATACAATTTTAAGGGTTTTTGTTTGTTTTTTTAATTAAGAAAGGGCCCCAAGAGGGCAAAAGTTCCCAGAGCCCATGAAGGTTATCATGTGGCCCTGCCCTAATCTTCCCTCCTGCCCACTCCGATCCTCTAGATCCCAGGGATTTCTCTCCCCACATCACAGTGTATCTGCCCTATGCCCCCCCCAATAGTCGGGGAGCTCCTAGAGGGCAGGACCCTTCTTCACTCATCCTCATGTCCCCACAAACTCAGTGCCTGTTCCACAGTCACATCAGATACTGCATTGCCTCTTTTGGGGTTGGGGGAAAACCTTAGGGAAAAAGGGCTAGATTCTAAATTAACATTGCCTGAGAACCCCTGGAAACCATGTAAAACATTCACATTTGTGAAGGCGGACTTTGTCCATATCCCCTACACTGAACTCCTCCTGCCAAGTTCACTCAGTAGATCCAACAGATCCTTCTCAGGAGTAATCCTGACTATGCAGCAGCATGTGACACTACTCAGCAAGCCCTCCTTTTTGGCTTCTATGGCATTGTTGTCTTGGTTTCCTCCTATTTCCCTGGATATTCCTACTGTCTCCTTTGCACGCTCATCCCTTCTGCTGGGCCATTAAAAACAAAGAGTAATGATGATGATGATGATGATGATGAAGATGATGATAGTAGCTGAAACATACCAGTATTTACTCTGTGCTGGGCACTACTGTAAGTATCAGTTCTTTTAATCCTCACAATAATCCTAAATCCATTCCCCAGCCACCAGCCAGAGTGACTTTTCTCAAAACCAAATCTAATCTCCCACTTAAAAGCTCTGCTTAAAACCTTCTAATGGCTTCCCCAGCCCACAGCTTGTAAGGTCTTTCATGATCCTGGTCCTGCCCACTTCTCCAGCCCCCTTTCTTACCACAACGCTTCCTATAACCCTTCTGCTTTTTGCTTCTGCATCAAGAACTCGAGTTCTTTGTATGTACTGTTCCCACTGCCTGAAACACTCTTCCTAATACTTATGGCTCATTCACGGTTCAGTTGAACATCACCTATTCTGGAAGCCAGGGAGTAGGGAGGTGGGGGACTATACAGCATGGTGGTTATGAGACCAACACTGAAACCAACCTGCCAGGTTCAATTTCCCACTCTGCCACTGCCTAACCAAGTAACCTTGGAAAAGCAATTTAAACTCTCTGGGACTTCAGTTATTCCTGTCGTGAGGATTAAAGAAGTCAGTGCATAAGGCACATGCAGTGCTACAGGTGTCGCTTCCTTCCAGGCCCAGTTGAGACATTTTACCAAGTATTTTCCAAAACTCCTTTATGCCCTGGCCGGTTTGGCTCAGCGGTTAGAGCGTCCTCCTGCGGTCCAGAGAGACCCAGGTTCGGTTCCCACTAAGGGCGCGTACCTCGGTTGCAATTTGTCCCCGGCCCTGGTTGGTTGTGCGGGTGGCGACCACTCGATGTGTCCCTTTCACGTCGATGTTTCTCTCTCTCTCTCTGTTCCTCTCTCTCCCTCCCACTCTATCTGAACAAAAAATGGAAAAATGTCTTCGGGTGAGGATAAGAAAACCCAAAAAACTCCTTTATAATAATACTGTCTAATGTCAGCCTCACTACTAAAAATGTCCATCTGCCCACCCTGCCAGACTGTCAGCTCGATGAGGACAAGGACTTCTGACCTTGGTCCTGCCCTATTTCTAGCGCCTAGCTCACAGCAGGTGTTCAGATTTGGTATACCAACGACTTCAAATCCAACACTTACCAGATATCTGATGATATAAGCTTTCCGGCAAACAGCCACCTCGAACAAGGAAGGAAAAAGGGGGTAAGATTTTTAGCAAAAGGGTATACACAGCAGACTCAGGCTGCAAACAGTCACAAAGGCGACCTGGTAATTAGGAAAATACCTTTATTATTTTTGAAATGTTCCAATATTCAATGTAAAAAAACCTGATAGTGGCTTTTTTAAAACTTGACAAATTATAGAAAAATGACTTTCTCCTTTCTTTACAGAAATGCCCCCCACCCCAAATAAGACAGATCTCCATTATGGCTGAAACAGGGCAGGAAGGAGGGGCAGAGAATACAACGAGTAGAAGTGAGGCTCTCTGGCAGCCAGAGGTTTTTCTGCACATGTACAGCCCAGGCTGAACCCAAAGACCTGTAACCCCTCTGAGGGAGGCTCAGTCCACACACAGGGGTGACGCACCTTGGCAGGCCTCTGCCTCGAAGCTAGCAGTGACCGAGGGCCTGCAGCATGGCACTGGTGGCTGGCAGGCCACAGTCAAGGCAGCTCCATGGGAACAAGATCCGGAGGCAGGCCTGCAGCTATAATTAGCAGTTGGTAATTTTTAGAAAAAGACACTTGAGTTGCTCACTGTTAGTTTTTAATCAGATCTCTGACTCCTTCCCTTCTCATCCATGGCCGGGCACGGGGTTACAGCTGTAGCAGAATGCTGTTTGTTGATTTGAGAAAACTGAAAATGTTTTGTACTTACAAAGGCGGATGGAATTCAAAAACCGATCCCACCGATTTTTATGAGGAACATGACTGTTTCTCTTGAGTGTCTCAAGTCAAAACAAGGCAACCGCCTAGTGATTTATCGTCCCCACTACGCATTTTCCGCCTTCCAGAAGGCATTAGAGAAAGGGCCAACGTCCGCCAGGAGCGATTGTAAACATACCACTGACAGCTTGGACACTTTGTTTTTAAATGCAGCAGGACTTTTTCCTTTGGCCCTGATGGAAAAGCCGACTCCCTGGGACTGTTTAGGCAGGAGCAGACAGGAGGGCTCCCTGAAACCTATGAGTGAGGGACCAGTGGTCCCCATTGGCTAGGAGTGTGGCTGGAGCATCATCAAAGGCAACTGATACATTTATGGCATGTGAAAATTGTCCTGTGGTCCCCAACTGGCCTCCAGTCTTAACCTGGCTGGAAATGGGACATGGGAGGTACAAAACAAGTTGTCATAAGGCACATGGTTGAGCTGGTCCCCACTCCAGGCCCAGAAAGATTATCTCTTCGCACGATTCCAAAAGTGTTGGAAAGCAGAGGAGTTGATGACACTCACTATGAGCAGCAGCAGCAGATACAGGGATAGCATGACCGTAAACCAATGGCTGGAAAACCAGGACAGATGGCTCGAAGCCCTGCTTAAAAGGGAAAAAAGGGTGATATTGGCAAAATGAGAAAAACATTTTTTAAAAGTGTATGCAACAACTTCTGGCTCAAAGATGAAATAATGAATTTCATCCTCTGAGTGAGCCATGAAATGAAGCTTCGTGCGTTCTCCTTTGCTCGAAAAATCTGAGGCTGTTTGCCCTGGCACTGACACGCCTTCACCAGAACATGTTCTAAATGTACAAAGACAGCTATGCAATGAGCTCATCCTGATCTTCTCTTTTATAGCTGCTCCTCTTGGACCTTCTATATCCTGTCTTTTCTTAAGCAGGACATCAGTATCTAGAAGAATGACCTCGCTCAAGGTGTCTGCCCAGATGGCAGCAGGTGGCAGGTTATTTAGCAAAAGTCTTTTCACTTTTAGACACATACCGATATCAATCCTCTGTGGCCCGTTGGGAGATGATCTAAACTGTTCAAGTGTGCACTAGAGAGACACTCCAGGGAGAAGTGGGAAGGAATGGAATTTCCAAATACAAAAAGCCAAAGGATAATGTCCCCCAGACTCAGGAATCCTAGACAAATTTGTCAAATTTGAGGGGAGGAGGGATTTTTACTGGTTTATGAAATCCTGAAGCATGGAAACCAGTGGTGTATATAAGCAGGAGTGGGGAGTATTAAAGGTGACCCCCTTTCCTGTCTTACCTGCTCACCTGCTGCTCATCCCCATGAAAAGCTAGACCCCAACAATACAGCAATATCTCAAAGTGACTCCAACCTGGAGAATCCTACACACATACACCCACCCCCCCAACACACTGCTAAAGTAAAATGAGGCATCCACTATGGCTCTTGGAAGCCACAAGGCCTCATCTGCCATTGGACTCAACACCTTCACTTTAAAGATGAAGATGAAGCTTCTCAGGTCAAGAGAGGAAATGGTGGTTCAAAAGCCACCATGGAAAGTGACCCAGCTGGGTGGTACCCAATCCCAGCCAGTGTCCAGTCACCACCCTGTCTCTCAGTTTAATCTAATCAGTGGGTTTCAGACTGAAACCAGAAGCCTAAGTTGGCTGAGGGGCCTCATGGTCTGGGGCAGCCAATTTGGCTTCATTCAGTCCCTTGTGTTATTTGTGTTTATGAATCTCTTTGTCTTCTTCACTAGAATACACAGTCCTCTGAGGGCCAGGACCACATCTTATGCAACCTTACCCTCACCCCTCACCATGTCTAACACAGTGTGTTATATACTTTATACACAGCTGAGGCCTAAGGCTGGAGAAAAGAGGGTGCTGGTAATAAAAAATCCAACACTTTCAATGCAATTGTCCTCCTGGACCTCAGGCAGGGACCGTCCTTCTTACCTCTTGGCCTGCTTCTGTGAGTACACCAGAAGGTACTTCACTCGCAGGAGCTGGTTGTTGGTAACCACAAAGTACTTTGGAGGGATGTCGCCCCCTTCACTGTGTCTGATTCTCGCTCTGCTACGATCTATCTCCTTGGAATCTGAATAAGGAAAGTAAAGCACAACTTTACTGGGGGAGGGGGGAGGGATACAATAATAAAAGCAGCAGCCTGGCTGGTGTGGCTCAGCGGTTGAGCATCGACCCATGCACCAAGAGGTCACAGGTTCGATTCCCAGTCAGGGAACACGCCCAGGTTGTGGGCCCAATCCCCAGTCGGGGGCATGCAAGAGGCAACCAGTTGATGTTCTCTCTCATCAATGTTTCTATTTCTATCTCCCTCTCCTTTCCTCTCTCTCTAAAAAATTAAATTAAATTTAAAAATTTAAAAATAATAATAAGAGCAGCAAATCATGAAAATAAATGGGTCAAGCCCTGGTCCTGGGGGTGAAGCCCCAGCAGGCCGAGAAGTGAGCCTATATGTGTAGTGAAACAGTAAAAAACAGGAGAGTCAACAGAGAGAAAAGAAAAAAGGAATAGGAAAATAAAAGATACAAGAAGGGGAAAAAAAAACTTGGCTGAATGGGAAAAGAAGAGGAAAGCAGCAGATTCATGTTCAAAACAAAAAAATAATCTGGGATGAAGAACAAGGACATGTCTCTTAGCAGGCACTTGAAATTAACCATTCTGGATTCAAGCTTCTAACAACACTTCTACTCTTTGTACCAAGGCTTGTTCAAACAAACAAACAAACAGAAACAAAACTTTTAATACCATGAAAAGCTCTGGTAATTTTAAAAAAGCCAAAGCAGTGTGACAGCAGACATTGCAAGGTTTTGTTCTGATGTTTAATGTCACAGTTTGCAAACTTCCTAAGAATTATAAATGCAAATATACATGCTGTCTGGTTTAGGAGGGTGGCGTCAGACCTGGGCCCGTTTCTCAGAGTTCCAGGTGTTTTACATTAGAGGCCAGGAACAGTTTTCTCAATTTTCCTTTTCTCAATGGAACCAACAGGCCAATTATGGAGACCAGAATGACAGTTTCGTGACTCTCCTGCCTTTGCAGGCAAAGCAGCAGGGGGTACTGGGCAAATAATCCAAGGAACGTATCGGGAAAGTGGACTGAGGCGGCCAGCTAGTCGTCTGCTCCCTGGAGGCCTGGGATTTACTGCCCCAGTTGTCTCTCACACCCTCCAGAGCACACGCCAGAGCAGCCTGAGGGACAGTATAAACACTCATCTTGCCGTGGCCGGTTTGGCTCAGCAGTTAGAGCGTCGGCCGGTGGACCAGAGTTCTGGGTTCGGTTCCCGCTAAGGGCACGTACCTCCGTTGCAGTTTGTCCCTGGCCCCGGTTGGGGTTGTGTGGGTGGCACCACCTGATATCTCTCTCACATCCATGTTTCTCTCTCTCTCTTCCTCCCGCTCTGTCTAAAGATAAATGCAAAAATGTCCTCAGGTGAGGATAAAATAAATAAATAAATAAACACTCATCTTTAGCTTCAGTTTGGCAACTATTTATTGAATATTAATACCAGGCTCCCTACTGATACCAGGTGCCTAAGACTGAATGAAACCCACTTCCTGCCCTCAGGAGTCCGTGCTCTGTCCTCACACACTCACTTTCAGCTGTCACATCTCACTTCCTCCCCACAGCCTTCTCTGAGCACCTGGACTACCATGCTTGCTCCTTCCGCTGAGCTGCCCCATGGATCTCATCAGCTCCTTCACCTACCACCTACCATCAGCTCTATCTACCTACCACCTCGTAGTAAGTGATATCTTCTCTGTTGTGTGTTCAATCCATAAGGAGACTGCTCACTGCTTGAAGGCAGGCCCACGTCCCACATGCTCTGGACTCAGCCCATCCATCCCTTGGCATGCAATGGGTACTCCACCCAACAGCTGGGCCAACAGCAAAAGTCTGCACATCCAGAGGCCTGCAGCCTAAGTGTGGGCCAAGTGCTCACTCACCTTTCTTCTTGGTTTGGCACTTGACATCTGGATGGTCAATGACCTCACACACAGCCACACAGCTGAGGATGGGGCCAAGGAGGCTGTGCTGCCACCCATGGCCATGGGGGCTATAAATAAGGGCCAGGCTCAAGTCACTGGTGAGGTAGGTCCCTTCCCCGAACAAGGATGTCTAGAATGGCAGAGGTCATGAGAAAAGAAACAGAACTGGGTAAGTATAGAATGCCACAGCAAGACAACACAGGTCTTTCAACACAGTTGTAGACACAAAATTTTCAAGCCTCTTTTTTTCCCAGCAGAAGGCAGAAGATCAAATAATCCTATGACATCATTATGGGGTTATTACTAAACACATTTCTATTTGACGACAGTTTAACAGGTTGTGGATATACCTGACTATCCTGGCAAACTAGTAGTTCCTATGGTCAAGGCTGAATGAGAAAAACAAAAGTATAAGAGTCCAAACAGACCCGAGTTTGAATCTTGCCTATATCTCCAACAAGCTGGCAAGTTATATAAACTCTCTGGGTCTCAGTTTCTACATTTACAAAATGGCGATAATAGTTTCTCTTCTCCTTCATAAGGTCATGGATGAGGATTCAATGAGAAAAATGTATATTAAGCATCAATCAGGACACCTGGCACATGAGGGGGGTGGGCACTCCATCCATGATCTCATGTGGTAATATATATAGTAATTCCTGTTACATGAATGCATTAGCGTAACACTGATGGGCTAGCAGAAGCAAAGTCACACTCTATGTACTGGGAGGGGGATCACACCTGAAGGGCGAAGTAATCTGTGTCATTACTTAGAAAAGAAATGGCCCTGACCAATGCTTTAGTGGTTAGAACATCAACCCCCACATTGAAGGGTCAAAGGTACAATTCCCGGGCAAGGGCATATATCTGTGTTGCAGGTTCGATACCCACCCCGGTAAGGATGTGTGCAGGAGACAAGCAATCCATGTGTCTTTTTTTTTTTTTTTTTAATTTTATTTTTGTCATGTGTCTCTTTCACATCAATGTTTCTCTCTATCTATCTATCTATCTATCTATCTATCCATCCCTCCCTCCCTCCCTCCCTTCCTTCTACTCTCTCTAAAATTATCAATGGAAATAATATCCTTGAGTAAGGATTAACAAAAAAAAAAAAAAGAGAGAGAGAGAGAGAGAGAGAAAAGGAGGAATGACTCTCTCAGAACAGAAACTATAACTGAATAAAGAAGGCCTATAGGAGGGGCAGGGTAAGTGTTATTCTTTGCATTGGTGTTGACCTAGAAAATGTCCAAAAATCTAGAAGGCAGCTCCTTGGTGGCAGGTGCTTATTTGGTGCCCTCCATAAAGAAGCACGCCAGGTGAGAAAGAAGATCTCAGGTTAAATACCTCAAGTTGAGCCTACAGAAATCACAGCAAACACATCCTTTGCTCATGGCAGACATCAGTAATCAACCATGATGGCCAACAAAAATATATCAATCATGGCCCTCATTCACACTGACTGAGAATCTTTCTCAACACAACACCCCAGGTAGCTGCTACCCAGAACAGTGCTATTCTGGAGCCACAGCATCAGTCCCTCAAGACGACAAGGGGACTCTAACAGCACACTGAACATCCTATGCTTAGGAATTGAGAAATGTCTCGTTTGGTGGTACCAGACTTTCAAAAATCTAAGCCAGTTAAGTGAAGATTAGGGAACATGAAACAAGCCTTTGCTTGGCCTTTGGGAAGCCCCTTGCTGGGTCAGGCAGAGTTCTCATGTCTTAAAAGCTGACACAGCCCTGGTCGGTTTGGCTCAGCGTTTAGAGCGTCGGCCCGCGAACCAGAGAGGCCCGGGTTCGGTTCCTACTAGGGGCACATACTTTGGTGGCAGTTTGTCTCCCGCCCCAGTTGGGGTTGTGTGGGTGGCATCCAGTCGATGTCTCTCTCTCATGTTGATGTTTCTCTCTCTCTCTTTCTCCCTCTCTCCCTCCCTCTGTCTAAAGATAAATGAAAAAAAAAAAAATGTCCTCAAGTGAGGATAAAAAAAAAAAAGCTGACACAGACCTTCTCCAAGGACACTGGATGTTCTCTGAATCTGACCCCACATCCATTCTCCTCTTATGCCTGCTATATATATGGCCTTCCCTAGACTCAAACCCCTTGAGCATGGCTGCAGTGAGAGAAACTTAGGGTATCTCTCCCATGAGAACAATCTCATAACTTCAACTGGCAGGCCCCTCACTGAAAACCCAGACAGAAGGGGCAAGAGAAGCCACTTTAGCAAAGGACTCTGATGAGATGCTGCTAAGCAACAAACTCCCTGGGGTACTGAAGTGAAGGTCTGGTGTACAAAACTATAACCAGCAGGCAACTTCTTCAGGCTGGCTGTGCTGTGGAGGGAGGCCCCGGATTCCAGTAGCCTGGCCATAACAATCAGCTGAGAGCCAGTGTAAACAAGCCCATCATCCTCGACAGAACCTAAGTGCACTGATCTGCCGCAGCACTGCTGGGAAGTCTCTCCGCCTCTGGGCGGCATCAGCCACAACCCAGCTGTGGCTCAGGGAGTCAGCCCCCAGACGTGGCAGGTGCTGCACAACTGGAGGAAAGGTTGCAGCTGCGGCCACCCCCCCCCCCCCCCGAGTCCCTCTGCATCCGCCTAGGAAAGCAGTTTTCGTGGTGCTAAGGACAGAGAGAGCCCTTTGCATGCATGAACTGAGTCAGTCCTCTCAGTACACCAGAAGATGGGTAATGGTGCCCTATTTTACAGATGAGGACATGAAGGACCAGAGAGTTTAAGTCAATCTGCACAGGGCCACAGAGCTGGTAAGAAGGTCTTTTTGGCTCCTGTCTGTACCCTTCCTCCTACACTTCACTGAGAGGCAAAAAGTGCCAGCAGAGCCCTGGCTGGTGTGACTCAGTTGATTGAGCTGGTTTGATTCCCAGTCAGAGTACATGCCCGGGTTGCAGCTCAATCCCCGATAGAGGGCGTGCAGCAGATAAATGTATCACTCTCACATCAGTGTTTCTCTCTTTCCCCCTCCCTTACCCTCTCTGTAAAAATCAATTTAATAATCTTTTTTTTAAAAAGTGCCAGCATGCCCTTGCTGGTTTTGCTCAACGGTTAGAGCGTCGGCCTGCGGTCCAGAGAGACCCGGGTTAGGTTCCTGCTAAGGGCATGTACTTTGGTTGCAGTTTGTTCCCAGCCCTGGTTGAGTCGTGAGGATGGCAGCCACTCGATGTGTCCCTTTCACGTCGATGTTTCTCTCTCTCTCTCTTCCTTCCACTCTATCTGAACAAAATATCAAAAAATGTCCTTGAGTGAGGATTTTTAAAAAAAGGGAAAACACTAATGGGAGAAAACCAACTCAAGGAGGGAGGGAAGGAACCTCTCCTTATCGCATCCCCCAATTTCTCCAAGGGCAGACTCTGCTGGAGTGACCCCTAAAGCAGTGCTTCTCAAACTTCAAAGTGCAAAGGAATCACCTGGGGAGCTCATTAAAGCGTGACTTCTCATCAGGTGGCTTGGGTGGGCCCTGAGATTCTACTTGTCCAACAAGCTCCCAGGTGACGCTGATGCCACTGGTCCAGGACCATGCTGAGTGATAAGGGTTGGCCACACACTGGGATCACCTGGTGAGCATTTAAAGCATGTTGCTGTCTGGACCGGACTCCCAGAGATGCTTCTCAAACCGTCATTGGTATTAGAATCACCTGGAGATCTTGTTAAAGTGTAGTTTCTGATTCAGAAGGTCCAGGGTGAGCCCAGGATTCTGCTTTTTCACAGGCTCCCAGCTGCTGCTGGTCTGTGGACCACACTTTGAGTGGCAAGAACTTAGGGAACCTGCCCCTCCCCAACCCTCACCAGGTCTGACCCGCCCCCGCCCCCCGCAGATGTCATCAGGCTTAGACCCCACCTTGTTCAGGTGGCAGTGCAGGCCATTGTGGATGATGGAATGGAAGTTCTCTAGGCGGCTCCCATGGAAGGCGTAGATTAGGTCACGTTCTCCTTTGGTCTCATAAAATTTGGCATTCGCTGGGTCGGAGTACTCGATTTCAAATAGGAAGTCCGGCACGGGGACAGCAGTGTGAGGGGCACCAGTCAGCTTTTGGATCTTTTCAAACTTGAAAATATGAAGGGAGTCACAATTTTATTTGGGAAGCCAATAAATGTGCTGCCAAAATGGCTTCCTAAAGCCTTGGGCTTAAGTCCAGTGGACTCTGCTCATGAGAACAACTGGTTTCATGAGAATAAAGACATCTATGTATAAATAAACTCAGAGCTTATAGCTCAAGACTGCCTTCCTCTAATAACGTTTTCCCTATAATAGGCTGAGAAGCATGCTTAGGCTCCTTCTAACTAAAGATCGCAGCTAATTTTCATAACACTTTCACCTCTAATTCCTGTATTACATCTTTACAATAATCTCAGGAGGTAGAAAGATGTGATAAATGGCAAAAATGGCCAAATATTTTTCCTCCCACCCCTCTGCAATGTGACTTTGCAGGTGGAATGCCCCCAAGATTCCATCACGAGATGGAAACTATTTCTCTGCCCCTTGAAGCTGAACTTGGCCATGTGACTTGCCTTAGCCAATGGGACCCTGGTAAACATACAGCAAACACAGACTTGAAAAGGACTTGCCCTTCCTTGTCTGCTGCTGGGAACCCTTCACCCTTCACCCTTCACTACCACATGAACAAGCCCTGTTAGCCTTTAAGAGGATGACAGCTTCATCGAGGAAGGCCTCAACCATAGCAGCCATCCCAGCTGAAGCCCCAGACATATAAGTGATCGACCCTAGATCACCCAGGCCCAGGTGAGCCAGCCCCAACTAGAAGAACCACGCAACCAACCCACAGAATCATGAGTAACAATAAATATCGTTTTAAACTACTAGATTTTGGGGGAACGGTTTGTTATGCAGCAAAAAAAAACTAATTGATACAAAAGAGTGAGCTCCTTCCTAAGGGGCAATAATCCTCTTTAGGGCAAAGAACACATCATTTCAGTGATTTCCAAACAGTAAGTCACATTCTATGGCAAAATTTTCTCTGGGGTGTGAAGAAAAAAATTAGGGAGGCCCTGGCTGGGTTGTTCAGCTGGTTAGAGCATCATCCTGATACACCAAGGTTGCAGGTTTGATCCCAGTCAGGGCACATACAAGAATCAACCAATAGCCTGGTTGGTGTGGCTCAGTGGTTGAGTGTCAACCCATGCACCAAGAGGTCACCATTTCGATTCCCCATCAGAGCACATGCCCAGGTTGTGGGCCCAATCCCCTGTGGAGAGCATGCAGAAGGTGGCCAATCAATGTCTCTATCTCTCTCCCTCTCCCTTCCTTTCTCTCTAAAATCAATAAAGAGCCCTGGCCAATTTTGCTCAGCGGTTAGAGCGTCAGCCCACAGACCAGAGAGTCCTGGGTTTGATTTCTGCTAAGGGCACGTACCTCAGTTGCAGTTTGTACCCAGCCCAGGTTGGGGTCATGTGGGTGGCAACCACTCGATGAGTCTCTCTCACATCGATGTTTCTCTCTCTCTCTTCCTCCTTCTCTCCCTCCCGCTCTATCTGAAGATAAATGCAAAAAGTGTCCTCAGGTGAGGATAAAAAAGTATATATATATAAAAAATAAAATAAAATAAAAAGTAAAATCAATAAACAAAAAAAAATCTACGAATAAATGCATAAGTAAGTGGAACAACAAATCAATGTTTCTATCTTTTACTCTCTCTCCTCTCTCTCTCCCCCCATCTTCTTTCCAAAATCAATAAATAAAAATTTCAGCCCTGGCCGGTTTGGCTCAGCGGTTAGAGCGTCGGCCTGCGGTCCTGAGAGACCCGGGTTCGGTTCCCGCTAAGGGCGCGTACCTCGGTTGCAGTTTGTCCCCGGCCCTGGTCGGTTGTGCGGGTGGCAGCCACTCAATGTGTTCCTTTCACATCGATGTTTTTCTCTCTCTCTCTGTTCCTCTCTCTCCCTCCCACTCTACCTGAACAAAAAATGGAAAAATGTCCTCGGGTGAGGATAGATAAAAAAAAAAATTTCAAACTCTGGTCGGTGTTCTCAGTGGTTAGACCATCAGCCACAGACTAAAGGGTCACAGGTTCGATTCCCAGTCAAGGGCACAAATCTGGGTTGCAGGTTCGATCCCTGGCCCCGGTTGGGGCACATGTGGGAGGCAACCAATCAATGTGTCTCTCTCATATCGATGTTTCTCTCTTTCTCTCTCTCTCTCTCCCCCTCCCTCCCTTCCACTCTCTCTAAAAATCAATGAAAAAATATCCTTGGGTAAGGAAATAAATAAACAAACAAAAAGAAAAATTAGGGCAATGTAACGGATTAGATATAGATATTGCAGTAAGGTTGACATGATCCTTTCTTTGGAAGAACTGTTCTTTATTCTGATGTCAGGACCATCCTCATTTTTGGTGTTAAAACTTCCTTTTATAAACTGATGATCCTTGGTAGGCTAATGTCCTTGCTTGGGCACAATAAAAAGCTGAAAATCCTAGGTGCCAACACTCCATATTTTAATGGAAGTTAACTGGTCCATAATCAGAAGTCAAGGAGCTATGGCCTTATCTACTTTACCTGCAGCAATATCTAGTAGGTGCCTGATGCCCACATGAGGAATGAATAAATCTCAATTTAACAGATGACAAATGTGAAACCCAGAGAATCATCTAAGAGTTAACAGTCCAGCCTGGACTGAATGTGGATCTCCTGACTCCCACTCCAGGGCTCTTTATGTTATTTTACCATCCAATACAGGTGGATGTCCCTAGACACCACAATCCAAGATATTAAATTCTATACCATTTAAGAAGAATTTCTGTCTCTAGCAGGAGCTTATAAAATTGAATGCTCTTAAATTAAAAATGATTAATTAAGTGAAGAACAGTACAAATAAACCCCTGCTGCCTCTCAGAGGGAAGAGCACCAGACTGGGGGTCTGCCTTCCCACACTCTCTGGTCCTTGTCATCCCAGCCTGTCCCTCGGAGATCCGGCCAGGCAAGAGACAGAAAATTATGGAATGTCTGGTCTATGTCAAAAACTATACTGAGAGTGATACACATTCTATTATAGCTCCCCTCTGAGGTAACATTTTTTTAAAATATGTTTCTATTGATTTTTTAGATAGAGAGGAAGGGAGAGGGAGAGAGAAAAACATCGATGAGAGACATGGATTGGCTGCCTCCTGTATGCCCCCCACTGGGGACCTGGGCATGTGCCCTGACCAGGAATTGAACCAGGACTTCTCAGGCCATGGTACGATGCTCAGTCCACTGAGCCATACTGGCTGGGCCTCTGAGGTAACCATTAATAGTCTCAATTTACAAATGGGGAAAAGGAGACCCAATTATAGATGAAAGTGGAATTTAAATCCACAGCCTGAAGTTTCCCATTACTTCAGGCTCTACCTCTGTTTTTTAAAAACTGGGTTAGAGCCCTGGCCAGTTTGGCTCAGCGGTTAGAGCGTCGGCCTGCGGTCTGGAGAGACCCGGGTTCGGTTCCCGCTAAGGGCACGTACTTCGGTTGCAGTTTGTCCCCGGCCCTGGTTGGTCGTGTGGGTGGCAGCCACTCGATGTGTCCCTTTCACATCGATGTTTCTCTCTCTCTCTCCCTTCCTCTCTCTCCCTCCCACTCTATCTGTACAAAAAAATGGAAAAATATCCTCGGGTGAGGATTAAAAAAAAAAAAAAAAAGAAAAAAAAAAACTGGGTTAGACCAGCCCAGCCAGTGTGGCTCAGTGTATTGAGTATCATCCCATGGACTGAGCAGTCCCAGTTCGATTCCCAGTCGAGGCACGTGCCCAGGTTGCAGGCTTGATTCCCAGTGGGGGACGTGCGGGAGGCTGCTGATTCATATTTCTCTTTCTCTCTCTCTTTCAAAAAACAGGATGAGGCTAATGTTTCTTAAGGTGTGGTTAAGGGTCCACCCTTATCAGAATTACCTGGAGTGCTTGTGATACCCAACATTTACAGAGCTCTTAGCATGTGCCCTTAGACATTGTTCTAAGTGCAAAAATTCATTCAGTTCTCACTCTTTGCTAGCCATGTCCCTGATGGAAGTACACTATTTGTATCCCCATTTTATTTATTTATTTATTTATATTTTTTATCCTCACCCGAGGACATTTTTCCATTTTTTATTTAGATAGAGTGGGAAGGAGAGAGAGGAAGAGAGAGAGAGAAACATCAACATGAAAGGGACACATTGAGTAGCTGCCACCCACACGACCCAACCAGGGACAAACTGCAACCAGGGTACATGCCCTTAGCAGGAACCAAACCCAGGTTTCTCTGGACTGCAAGCCTACTCTCTAACTGCGGAGCCAAACCGGCCAGGGCTGTATCCCCATTTTATAGATGAGGAAACAGAGGTACTGAAATGTACCAAGAAACCTGCTCCAGGTTGCACAGCTAGTAGGAGGGAGAACACAGCTTTGTACTGCCAGTGTGCAAATTCCTGGGCCCCACTTCAGACACAGAATCAGAATCTCTGGGAGCAAGGTGCAGGAACCTGCATTTGCAACAAGCTACCCACGTCATCTGGTGCACAAGGAGGTCCCTCGGAACCTGTGATCCTACAGACCAGTCTCACCTCTGACTTCCCTGCACTGTGGACTGTCAGGACTTTTGAGGATAAAATCCAGCTCAGCAGGTCCCAGGCCCATTTGTCTTTGTCTTCAGAGTACTGGAGAAATTCTTTCAGATTGGGTAATTTACTGGCATCTGCAAGCTGAAGTGAGAAAAACCTCCATTAGCACGGATCCTAGACAAAACGAAAAGCAGGGGCCCTCTAGCGGTAAGGAAGGCAACCTGCACTTCTTTCATGTCGAATTTTCTGCGAGGGCAATGCACAGGTTTACTATCCCCTTTCCAAATAATACCCAACTGCAAATGCTCCAAACACTGAAAGGCTGTTGTGTAACTCATTTGGTACAAAACCTGACCTGAACTGATGTGAGGTTAATTTAATCTTTACTTATCCCACTTCATGTTACATTTTGTTGCGGGAATTTAATTCTGATGATGGGATGCCACCTCACTGGAGGTGTTACCAAATACATGATATATACACGGGTGGGTAAAGGGTTAGCAAAGCATGAGAAAATGACCTGCAGTTAACTTATCAGCCTGTTCCCCTGGAGACCAGAACAAGGTAGTATGGCCACCACATACATAACCAGACAATGCTGCTTATGGTAAAAATGACCCAGAGTGGTAAGCTGCACCTGCACTGGGAGAAACTGCAAGTGGGGAATCCATGGTTTGAGGTTTCTCTGAGTGTGCTGACTTTCTGCAAGGGCCATGGCAGCTATGTCTATGGCGTTCTTACAAGAGAGGCTAGCCTCTAAATCATGGGGTTTCGTTAGGTGAAAGCAGTTCCTACACCCATCCCACATGACTCTCCCCTTCTTACACATGAGCTGTCAGCCTCGGAAGCCAAGACTAGATGCTGGACTTCTGTGTGGACTGCTGCAAGGAATTCCACGGAAACGGAACACCCCGCTGTACGTTGTGACCGTTCTTGGGGCCTTCTGAGTTAGGCTGGTGCCCTTGTGGCCTGCTATAGATGTCTGAGTTGGCCAGTTTAGTTGTGTTATTACACCACATTATCACCTTTGTAAAATCAGGCAGAATCTGAATTCCAAAACACATCTGGTGCCAGGTTTTCTGTTAAGGGACTTGGGATCTGGACTAACAGATAGCTACAAGGTAACTGTAGCTTTTGCTCGGAAATTATTACTAGAAGTCAAATCTCTCTAGCATGGCACTTAGAAAAACACCATAGACTGGTGACATCTGTGAGCATGCCTTGGGCTGTACCCTTCCAAACTCTGTTCACTCAATCTCCTGGAATGCCCTCACTTCTATCACCCCTCTCCCTAAACTCCTAAAACTCTCAGCCCCTATATTCTCTCCCCAGTACGGCCAGGATTTCCAGAGGCCAAAGACAGTCCTATATTTTTCTAATTCTCCACTTTCCTGGACTCAGGGGAAAAAGCAGACAGATCTTGGTTTGAATCCCTGCTCCTTTTTTCCTTTTTTTTTTTTTTTTAAAAAAAAGAATAGTTTATTGATTCTTAGAGAGAGAGGAAGAGAGAAGAAACATCCCTGTGAGAGCATAACATCGATTGCTGCCTCCTGCACGCCCCCTATTGGGGTGAATCCCTGCTCCTTAAGCAAAGCACTGGACCTGGCTGAGCCTCAATCTCCTCTCTGATATGGGAAGCCCACTATCTCCGTGCCAGGTTGTCAGGAAGATTACAGAAAACAACAGAATGTCAGGGCCTGGTTTATACATGTCCATTTCTTTGTTCTTATTTATATTTCTCCCTGACAACACCCCCACACACAGTTTTACTGGGAATGTAGTTGGTATTTCATGAATATCAATGTGCTCTTTTCCATTTTTTATAATGACTGATGCTGACCTTGGGGTTTTTGGTTTTTTTTCTTTTTCTTTTCTTTTTTAATCCTCACCTGAGGACATACTTAGAGAGAGAAAAACACCGATGTGAGAGAGAAACATTGATAAACTGCATTTCATATGCTCCCCAGCTGGGGATCGAACCTGCAACCCAGGTATGTGTCCTGACTGGGATATGAACCGGCAACCTTTCGGTGTACCAGACGACATCCAACCGAGCCACTCCGGCCGGGGTGGGAGCGAGGGGGTATTTTTTAACTCTGTAGTTGAAAATCAGAAACATTTCAGGGCTGCTTTATCCCTGTCTCTTCCAAAGATTCAATCAATAGCTTCAGACTTCTAATAAAACTATCTGTACATGCCTCATAGACACTTTTAGTTTAAAAAGAAAAAACCATGGATGTGTGGTGTGTAAATGCTCCATGAGTGCCCGGTGCTACACAATGGGGAGGCAGAAAGGTAAATAATCATGACTTAAACCTTCATTATCATAACAAAGATGGATACAAGCTACTAAGGAGATTTAGTGGTACCTGCGTTGCGGAGAGGCTGAGGGACAAGTGGGTGGTCAGGAAAGGCTTTGGCAGAGGAGGTGCTGTGTGACCTGGGTTTGCTATGCAAAGACACAGAAGCACAAAAGTGCAGCGTGTGGTCAGGGCAGTGGATGGAGACGTGGTTACTCGTGAATGCTCTCTTCCCAGGCAGGCTGGGTCCAAATCTGGGCTCTTATACCCTCTACTGTGACTTTGGTGAGTTGTTTGACTTCTTGTATCTTCGTATTAGTAGCCATTTCATGGGATCTTTGTGCAGTTTGATCAACTTAAACAAGTACAGCGCACAGAGCAACAGGAAGGTATTACATACTCCAATGTTAGTGGGATTGCCAGGGTTGTTGTCATCATTAAATGCAGGTGGTTTGGTGTGGCTGGAGCCTAGAGTGCAGGTCACCAGGAAGAACAGGAATGAGAAGGTGATGAGATCAGCCTGCGAAGGCCTCGGACACCCACCTTGGGGTCTCTGGGCTTTGTTTTGTAGGCAATACAGAGCCACTGAGGGTACCTGAAGATGTGTTCCAAATGGTACACCCTCAGGTGGTCACCCACATGGCCTGCTGCCTGCCCAGTCCAAAGGACACCTCCCAGCATCTTGTGACCTCTCCCGTCCTGCTTTTCTACTCCTGGTCACACTTATTATCCCAAAGCCAGAGCTGAGTCTTCTCTCCCATAATTACTGTCCCCATCACTCCTGTTTTCAAATCCCACCTGTGAGCACAGCCCTTGCCAACGGTCCAGACCTGGGCACAGGGAGCTCTACAAAACGACAGTCAGCTAAGCCAGGTCCCTTTAGAGGCTCAGTTTGGAGAAGTGGAAGAAACCATTCCCAGCTCCGAGATCGACCCAGGTCTCACCTGAGCTCCCTCAGGGAGAGCCCTCTTCCAGGGCTCAGGCCCCTCAACTGCTACCTGCCCTGTGTGTCCTCCTGGCTGCTCTCTTTGCCCCCCACTCTTTAACCCCTCAACTGGCTTTCTTTATGACCTATTTTACTTTTCAGGCTACTCTGAAATATAAATCTGCTGCAACAAGTTAACAGAATTCTTCCTCTTGTGATCAAAACCTGTTTGCATTTTAGCAGGACCTTTTGGGGACCAGGCACACAAGTAGGGCTGTATCATAAACTATAGCCTACCCAGTTAAATTTGAGTTTCAGATAAATAACAAAATAAAAAATTTTTTAGTATAACCCATGCAATAATTTGGCATACTTGCATTCTAAAAATTATTTGTTTCTTCTCTGAAATTCAAATTTAAATAGGTGGCCTATATTTTTATTTGCTAAATCTAGCAATCCTGTCCTTCACAAGTCCCTCGAATCTATTCTGGCCTCTCTGCCTAACAGTACCTTCCGCAACATGCTTCTCACCTGCTCCCCCCATGCCATTCCTAAGTGCCCTATGCGTTTCCTTCTCTGTGCTCCTGCAGTTGCCAGCACGAGAGTCCACACAAGCTTCAAGGCCAGCCTAAAATCACCTCCCCTAACCCTGACCACTCACAACCTCTGTGTTCCCCTGTGCTCTATGCAAAATCCTACATTGGTACTTGACTCTCTAGGGCCACATCAAATCTGGCTGGGACAAATAATTCCTAAGGGCCATCTTATATATTCTAGAGTCCCAGCAGCCAGCTTAGAACCTGGCACAGAGGTCAGAACAAGATAGTAAAAGCTAATATTTATTGAGGCCTTATCACATGCCAGGCACTGGGCTAAATGCTGTGCACACGTCATCGCCTTTTATCCTCACAACAATCTATTTAAAAGGGGAGAAAACTGAGGTTTGGAGAGGTTAGGAACCTTGCCTAGGGTCTTGCAGCTCTTTAGTACAGGGTCATGAAGCCAAGCAGTCTGACTCTGAGGTCTGTTCTCTGTGATTCTCTCCTATCAATGGAGAAAATGGACTAAATATCTTAGCCAAAGGACCAATTCCCACAGAACTTTAAGAGGTGGCTTGGGAAGCCAATCAGGTATGTTTCTGAAGTCTCCCACCCCCAAATAATACAACCAAGGCAGCTACCAGCTGTACGTAGGTCTTTGGTAAGGAGAAAGATGTATGTTGTATGTAGTATGAAGCCGGGTCAGGAGACAAAAAACCGTTACAGACCACCATCCCTGGCAGTGGAAGGCATTTACCAATAACTGGACTGAGGAGAATAACTGTTCAAGAAGAAGGCAAGCATTTCTGGGGTTTAGGGGAGACGGCAGAGGGAAGGGTTTATAGATCAGGTAGAATAGGAATGGGACCTGGAGTGACGGGGAGCATTTTGGGGGGCAGAGACAGAGCACTCCCCGTGGGAAGGAGCTTCGCAGAGGCAGTGAAGTGAACAGTGCCTGTCCAAAAATGTGGTCCCAACCCTGGCCTGTTGGCTCAGTGTTTAGAGCGTTGGCCCACAGACCAAAGAGTCCCGGGTTCAATTCCGGCCAAGGGCATGTACCTCGGTTGTGGTTCGTCCCCAGCCCTGGTTGGGGTCATGCAGGTGGCAACCAATTGATGTGTCTCTTCTTATATCGATGTTTCTCTCTCTCTCTCTTCCTCCCTCTCTCCCTCCCGCTCCATCTGAAGATAAATGTAAAAATATCCTCAGGTGCCCAGATGGTGTGGCTCAGTGGCTGAGCATTGACCCATGCACCAAGAGGTCTCCGGTTCGATTCCTGGTCAGGGTACATGCCCAGGTTATGGGCCAAATCCCCAGTGAGGGGCATGCAGGAGGCGGCCAATCAAGGTTCACTCTCATTGATGTTTCTATGTCTCT